TGAGGAATGTCCTTTGTAAAGCTCGTAGGTTTGTATTTGTTAGCAAAACTCTATAAAGAATCCCTACGATTTTTGAAAATTATTTCTGATATTATAAGGTTTTAAAAAGATGAACTTTTGGGTGTGTGTGGGGGCGTCCTTTCTGAAAATATTCAAAATCATATTAACTATAGTCTTCATTAGAACTTCAACTTTAGAGAGAGTTACTTTTTTCTTATATACATTGGTTTCAGTTGTGTATGTTTAGGAGACAAATTTGTTTCGTAAATGAAAATATTATTTGCAAAATTAATTGCAAAACTAATTACATTAAACTACCAGCAAAACTCGAGAGATGCCCAAAGTATCTTATAGATGATACTAGAATAATGTAGTCATACACCACCTGTAACCATGCATGCCTGAGAATAACTACAACTTGTAACTAACTATCAATCCATTACGCGGCAGTGCCTCAAGTTTCTCTAGTGATTTATTCTGACATGAGTAAAGTTCGCAATAGATAAGCATTCAGACAATTTTAACGTATGCAACATAAGCAAGCAAATCTAGAATTAGATGAATTTAAACCATCTGCATACACGTTAACAAATAAATATCACACTGTGGAATGAGATCCGGAGAAATTTAGTATCACAATATTCTCACAATATCATGAAAGCATTGGCTTAGAGACATATACTGACTATATCACATGGTCCTAAAGAATTTATTAATTACTACCACGTTACCACCTAATCATGTGAATTTAAAAACCGACATCAGTGTTTTATTAAGGATATTCCTAAAGGATTTATGACATTTGTTGATAGCTTCACTATACATTAATATCAATTTTAAATCCTTATTTTGTGCCATTGTTTTTGGGACTACGGCTGTCAGTGTGTGCATCAGCACCTTTAAAGAACTTCTGAGAACAGAATAACAAATCCAAAGTAAAGCAGAGAACATATGAGAATTAGAGAGAACATATGAGAATTAGAGTTTGGATGCTGAGAGAAATAGTAGAGGGAGAATGATTTTTGTTGAGTCCTTTGGATTTGGAATTGGGAAAGGAATTTTTTTGGGAGTTTGTTCCTTTGAGAAGGGGATGAGGTGGTACTATCACAGCAATCCATACTCTTCCTCGCCCATAGCTGCCCTCCCTTTTTGCTTATCTCATTGGGGATAGGAAAACGCTTAAACTAGGAGCGCAAGGAAAAAAACATGTATAATGCATGCCGAAATTTTCGTGCCCTTTTCAATAAACCAAATTCTTACCTTAAAATTATGCGAAAGAAGGTAATATAAAGGATAATAGAGAGTATAAAGGGAAAATGGAATATATTCACAGACCTTCTATATAATGTGTTTGTTGGGGGGATTGTTTAAAGAAAGTAATAGAGTAATCTTAAGCAAGTTCTTGCAGACTTGCACTTGCTCCGATGGTCCTTGTGAAAATGGTGGAACAACGAGCATTATATCCACCTTGTTGAGAAGAGTCATGTTATTATTAGTTTTTCATCAAGTTTGCAACTTCGTGATTTATTGCATTGATTATTATATAATTGTGGAAAAGTAGGTGCATCTTGAAACTTAGTTTATATTGTTTTATGCGTCTGTAATTCCTAAACCAAATACTGCGATGGCTTCATTCGGATTGCAAATATCAGTCCTGTTATTAATTTTTTATTATTGATCTTTTGCATATTGATGAAGTTCTATGTCAAGTAGGATTGCTGGAAGAAGGTTGGTTGGGAGACTATTTGAGATCTCATATTGTGAAATAGTTACTGGTAACTAACTTCCATTTTTGTTTCTTGTGGGCCTTCACTATTGATTCAATCCACAGAACCTAGCAACGGAATAGTTTAACCACTTGGTTTGTTTGAAAGGTTTCAATAGGCTAATAATTAAGTAGTATCCATCCTTCCTAGATTGGTGGACTAGTGTGGATGTGTTTCACAAAGAGGGTGGGCATAAGGGAAGAACTGACATGGTGCGAAGGTTGGATTGCATTAAGATTAATCATGAGGATTGTTTGATTAAAGTTCAAGCACATAAAATTTTAGGTTACAAATATCTGATTAAAAATAAGATTTGAGTAGCTAATGCTAAGAAAGTTCCCTAGTCTTTAAGGAAACAAAAAATTTTGGATAAAAAATTTATTTTATCATTTTAGGAAGAAGTTGGATTGATTAAAATATGAGAGAATCATTATAATTTAGGAAAATGAAATTTGATATTTAGATGAGGAGTGTTCTTTGTAAAGTTGGTAGGTTTGTATTTGTTAACAAAACTCTATAAAGAATCCCCGTAATTTAGGAAAATTACTTCCGAGTATCGTAAGGTTTTAAAAAGACGGAACTTTTAGGCTGTAGGGGCGTCCTTTTTGAAAATATTCAAATTCATATTAACTATAGTCTATATTACAACTTCAACTTTAGAGAGAGTTACTTTTTTTTCTTATATGCATTAGTTTCAGTTGTGTATGTTCGGGAGAGAAATTTGTTTTGTAAATGAAAATATTATTTGCAAACTTAATTGCAAAACTAATTACATTAATCTACCAGTAAGACTCGAGAGATACGAAAGTATCTTTTAGATGGTACTAGAATAATGTAGTCATACACCACCTGTAACCATGCATGACTGAGAATAACTACAACTTGTAACTAACTATTAATCCATTATGTGGCAGGGCCTCAAGTTTCTCTAGTGATTTATTCTAACATGAGTAAAGTTCGCAATAGATAAACATTCAGACAATTTTAACATATGCAACATAAGCAAGCAAATCTAGAATTAGATGAATTTAAACCATCTGCATACATGTTAACAAATAAATATCACACTGTGGAATGAGACCTTGAGAAATTTAGTATCACAATATTCTCACAATATCATGAAAGCATTGGCTTAAGAGACATATAATGACTATATCACATGTTCCTAAAGGATTTATTAATTACTACCACGTTACTACCTAATCATGTGAATCTAAAAACCGACATCTGTGTTTTATTAAGGAGATTCCGAACATGCACCAGCATTATAATTCTGGAAGAATTGGACGTTGTGAATGGTAATTTAAGAAGAGCAAATTGCAACTCTATTCCATATGAAGATGATCATGAAACACGAGGAGGAGAATTGATTAGACAATCTCGTTGAGAACTAACAAAAGACTTTACATATTTAAATGAATGAACAATTGGACAACGAGAATGGAAGTGAACGCTTGACTTCACGAAGAAATCAAGTTAAAAGAGATATCCAAGCCAAACTCCTCTCTTTCTTCTTTTCCTACTGAAGCAAAGAGCTTTTGTTCTCTCTCCTTTTTTTTCATGTGAATAAGTAAATGGCATGATGGGAGGGAGATTTTAAGAGATATTTCGTAAGTGTAAGAGATGGGAGTTTGTCGAGATTTCTTGGGATTAGGTATTTTTCGATTAAGAGGTTAGGAGTTCAAAACCTACGACTTTTATTTGAATTCAAAATCATGAATCCTAATAGTCGGGCCTTTGACATTTGGGGCCCGATTTAATAAATATGACAAACTTACAAGAAGTAGATGATATTCCGTAAATTAGTCATGTTGACTTTTGGTTATATTATCTAAGAAAAGTATAATCAAGGGTCCAAAATTTGCATTTCTTGTTATATCAAAATTTTGAATAATGTGTTACTGTCAAAATTTGTGGCTTTAAAATTATCACATGTGTTTAATACCACAATGGTCAAAAACCCAGAGTACATGAAAAAGCAATAACAGACAAAATCCCAGGGACAAATAACATAAAGACAAAATTTTTAAGTAAGGATGAATGTCCATATTGCATGAAAATGTAATAAAGGACAAAATCCCAAGGATAAATACTATAAAGACCAAAATCTCGAAGGATGAATGTCGTAAGCGCTAAAACATGGATGTCTCTAAAAGATGAAGCCAAGGATAGTTTACTAATGCTAAATCACAAAGGTAAATGCCTGAAAGCCCTAGATGAAAACTAACTTCAAAGCTAATTTTACATTATAAATGTTGGACTTTTTATCCCTTGTAACCTCAAGTGTTCACCAAAGTGTTCTATAAACTAAATTAACTCACAAAATATAATTCATAAACATATCCGTAAAGTATTTCAAATTGAAGTTTGTGTTACATCTATACCATGGAAAATCGTCTGCTCGTATGCTGGTGGTTTTAAGGGATCCCTGTTGCATTTTATACGCAACCATGTGATTTAGTTTCATGTTGGTAGCATCTGTTTTCCTTTACTATCATGATATATTCCCCTGATTGTAAAATTTGAGATAGGTTTCTTCCTGATTTCTGTTTGGCTATCTAATATATTAGAGGGGTTTTTGATATAAACATTCGGGGGGTCAATGCTTATCGACTACAATACAAATTACTGAAAATTCCAGATATTTAAGGTTCGGTTACATGAGCACACTAGGAGTGATCCTTCATGCGGTTGGCTCATTTTATTGGGAATGGTAGTAGTTAAATCAGCTCTAACATGAAATTCTCATGCAAAACAATTAACACATGGATGTCCTTTATTTTGGCTTATATACAGATGCAGTAAACTTAATTGCATTCTTGCAATTGTATTTCGTACTTTGTTGAGATCTTGATGTTCTCATCCATATATTCTTTTCGTGAAATAGTTTGCTCATTCCGTTCTATTTCAAGTAAGAGCAGCTTTGGATCACCTTTTTTTTCGTAATACTTAGTTGTTTTATCGCTATTTATTGCTTCAATAATTTAGCGGTGTTTTCCCACTACATCTTTTACCACCAATGCAAATTACGTGCTCCATAGATGTTTAGTCATGACATTCATTGAATGCGTGCTACTATTTTACTTCTGAAGTCACATTTAACAATCAATGTTTATGTTGGCAAAAACAATAAATGAAATCATTGAGACATTCAGGGACTGGTATCTTTATTTTAGTAAGTTTTATTTATTTGAAGTTCTTTTATGAAGTTCTAATTTTACTTTTTTATGGTAGGTCTTCGGTTGTAAGATTATTGGATTTTGGCTCCTGTGTCCGTTCAGAGGTTGTGATTGTGCTCATATGAAATGCATGTTTGATGTGATTGGGCAGTTTAACTTAGTTATGCGTCACATAGTTAGCAGTTATAGGTGCTCGTTTTGCCATAATCTTCATGACACAGTTTGTTAAGTACACATGTTTGTTAAGTACACATGTTTGTCATTATTGATTATGATAGAACGTACTAATTGAGAACTTCTTGAAATAATCTTTCTTCCTTTTTCCCATTGGATGATACTTTATTTTATTTGTGGAACTTGGAAGATATATATAGTAGAACTTATGTCAACTTAAGTGGACATCAAGTATTTGTCCACCAAATTTTTTATCCACTCATTTATATATATAAAAAGTCCTTTCATATCATGCAAGGATCCCTAGGCAACATGAGTGGATAGAAACTTTGGAAAATAGTTACAGTAACTTTGTGCAAAACCCCACCAAAGTTGTGTGAAATTTACCCTTGTTATTTCATTGACCATGATGCATCACTTCCGAGATCTGAAGTAAGCCATATTTGAAACTGATCATTAATGTTATTTCATTGACCATGATGCATCACTTCCGAGATCTGAAGTAAGCCATATTTGAAACTGATCATTAGGGCATAAAGTGAGACGATGATGCATCACTTCCGAGATCTGAAGTAAGCCATATTTGAAACTGATCATTAGGGCATAAAGTGAGACGACGATGCCTGTTTTAGTCAACATAAAAGGTAAAAACTACACGTAATCGCACTTCATAGATATATTTCTTTGTGAAAAAGGACTGGAGAATCACAAAGAGGCAATTGCAATAGACTCGCCTCGACTTAAATCTGCTGTGAGTGAACTTTCATTGTAACGACAAGTCAAATCTTTTTAGTAGCGATTACTTGTCTGTTGCCAAACTTGTCTCACAAAATTTGTAGATTCATGAATGTAAGGTTGTTAGACGAGCAGATTTTAACCTCATGTTTGAGCCTGTTTCTCAATCTATATCGTCTTCAGAACTGCCACTTGCGAAATTAAGCAAAAGTATTACATCAATAATTATATATCAAATTCAAATGATGAAAAAGCAGCACAGAAGATGCTGAGGGTTGCATAAATTCTTTTACATTTTGATTCGGGTAATTGTGTTTGGAACATTTGCATCCCTCACAGCACCTGAAGAAATCAGCAAAATCCAAGGCAATTTCTCTGTACTCGTTCATGCAAGAGTAGAAGTTTTAAACAAATAGTTGCTAATAAGTTTCTTGAACTAACGGAGTTCTCGTTTATGAGTAGCCATTGATGAAAAAATCTACCATCGAAGGTCCTATACAATTAGAAAAAAGTCACTTCCAGAGAACTAAAGCAGAGCAAAATGTAGACTCAAACCAAGCAAAACTTGCAAAACTTGCAAAACAAGCTCAAACAGAGCTTCGAACTAGGGCGCGGGGGGGGGCGGGGCGGGGGCGAAACGTTGCAAAGATCTAAGCTCAGAGACGTCACTTTTACATTAAGAGAAGCTTAACTAATCGTTTGAAGCATCACCTGTATAAGGGAAATTAACATATGACGCAGTTTTTTTTTCCAAGGCCAGTGGACAAACTCATATGGATCTCTCTTTTAATTTATTTTAAATGCCTCTTTGACTTTTACAGTATGAGGGGTGCATTCGATCCAGATATGACCTAGATATGATACTTATCATATTCATATCCGCTTACCCATCACAGATACTAATACGGTTACAAATATACATCGGTAAGAAAAATTTATATCCGCTAAAGTTTGATATGGATATGGATATAAAAGTAGATATGTGTGCGCATGAGAAGATATGACAAAACTAGATAATATTGAAAAAAATATAGCTCATGTGATATAAAAGAATTCATTAATATGTTTGTTTTATCTTAAAAGCTAAGATTAGACATCTGATCAACATAATTAACCCGAAATCCATAATCTAAGGATTAAAAACTACAGTGACGATATGACCAATATGCACTAAGATATTTTGTATACGGACCGTAATATTTCACTACAAAACCTGTTTATGTCAGAGGCTTAGCCATGCAGATTTGGATGTATCTAGGAGATCTTAGGGTCCTTCAATCTCTTTTGGTGGCTGATCACATTGAGTAGAAGAGAATTCATGCACATGTATGAAACATTAGAGGATCAATTCGGTTCTCCGGTGGTTCCTTTGATGATCAAGACAGTTATGATCTTAAAAGGAGAGTTTGTGAAAAGAATGTAATAGTTATATAGCAAGTAACCTTTCAAACAAATCGAAAACAAAGGATGGGTAAATTCCCTCAGTTTTGGAGTTGTTTTATATAACCTCCATCAATTTTGAAACTTTGATTCAAACCTTCAGATGTCCATTCTAGGGGCACGATGTTCTTTACTGCACATGAAGAACTCGTGAGAGAGCGGAGTTGGGTTCTCTAATGGTTTCTCTGACGATCAAGTTCGAATAAAGCTTGAGTGGAGAAGTAAAGTGATAAACTGAAAGAGTTCAGAGAGCATAATGAATTGTTTACCTCTGTGCTGCCAACAATCCCTCTATTTATAGTAGTTGCTGAGGGGTAGTTTGTTAATTTCGATCGAGTTTGAAGTGGGGCAAAGTCAGGATTTATAGGTTTCAATTGTAGAGAGTGGTGGGTCACCTTTGTGTTTAATATGAGTGTGATAGAAGGTACATAGTGCAGATGTGGTGCGATGTGTCATAAAGACTTTAGGGGACAAAGGAATGATGGCTTTGGTCAGGCATTTAATTGTGTTTAATGTGATGATGAGTGTCTGTCGGTGGGAGTTACGAGGTAATCGTCGCCTTTCAACTCATCTAGTTGAGGGTCGAGAAGTACCGCCTTTTGACACAGTCACATGAGCAGTCGGTCAATAGGTTGAGTGCGGGTGGCTTGGTGTGTCGGCCTGGGAGGAGGTCGACTCATACCGTCTTTAGACTCGATTATGCAAGGAGTCGGCCTCTTGTGTGCAAGTTGCTCATAGAGTCGGCCTAGCGAGGAGGTCAACATGTATCACCTTTTGGCTCGGCGATGCGAGAAGTCGGCTAGTTGACATGAGATTTTACTAGTGTCTTTCTTCCTTTTTCCCATTGGATGATACTTTATTTTATTTGTAGAACATTGAAGAAAAGGCTTGTTAATTCTTTCACTGGGAAAAGAAAGTGAGGAAAATTTTTAAAAATTACTGAAAAATATAATTTTCCATAACCATTGAAATAATGTGAGTTTATTGTTAGAAATAATATATAATTTACCAAAAAATGTTATATATGTATATATACACCTTGAAATCTAGAAGAAAGTCGACTGGTCACAATGATAACAATTGAGCCTTCATTTTCCCCTTTTAGTTTTTTCTCCATAGCAAATGCTATGTTTTTCCACAAAGTGAGGGTTATAGTGTCGAAATTGGTAACAAAAATAATGTTTTATATTTAATATCTATATTATATAATAATTTTTCATATTTTTGATATAAACAATAATAACCCTTACTCTTGATTATGCAAAGCTTCTAAGAAAAACACTTTTCCATTATTGTCCATGCTATCAATCGCATAAATTTCATCAACTATTGCAATCATATCTATTAAAATATGATTTAAATTTAGTATCATATGACATACATCATAATCTTGTAGGAATACAAATATAATGCGTACCTATAAGAAATTCTTTTGAGTCAATTCTCGATTCAATCTCTTTAAGGAAGGAACTCGAACTTATATGTGATGCCCCTGGGTTCACACAAGGCTGCAGTTCAAGATGAAATCAAGAATGTCAAACCTGTCATGCACCACACCGTGCAATAACATGTTTCACCATCACAATTACTATCTCTCTAGTGTTAGACCCTAGAGGGGGGTGATTAGGGTCTTATGCTAATCTAATCCGATTTAAATGGCAATTAAAAAAAAATTAATACGTTATCCTAGCAAGTATGAAATACAACAATATTTGTAAGCTAGGATAAGCAATATAAACAATAAGATATATCCTAAATGATGAAATATATATATATATATGCAAGGATATATAAACTGACACAAGGGTAAACAATATGAACTAGATAGTGGATGATATAGATAATGAGCTAATGACAATGACGATATAAGATATGAACATAAATATGAATGAACGTCAAAGCACACTCAAACAAGCAATATGATCACGGAGTTCGGACCTTCCGTCCTACGTCTCCGCTCCCCACTCCCGGGGAGAAATCCACTAACTCAATCCGGTTTGGAAGCCGGAACTTCTTCTACACACTCGGTTTTCTAGCTAACCGAAAACTCTACAACTCACACTCTTGCAATCACACTCTACACCCACTAAGTGTTGGACCTAGCCGTGTCTCCCTCAAGTGCTCGGTTACAACCTCTCCCTAGGCACGTTAACCGACGCCACTCTTCTTGGGACGATCCCCGACTCTCACCACACACTCCTCACTCGGTGTACAAGTGTATTACAAAGTGATTTCACAATTAAGCACAATATAGCAAATGATTGTTCTCTCTAACAAGGTGAGAACTCAATTAGGCTCAACTCAATGTCACACTATCCCACAACCCAATTATATAATGTATGCAAATACAATAAGCTCAATGGTTGTGTGTGCAAACAAAGAGTAAATCAAATCAAACTAAACTCAATATAAAACTAGCTTTAATAGAAATGATAATCAACAAATAATTATAAATAAAAGCTAGACTTGAGTTTAGGAAAACTTCTCTAGATCAAGATGGAGAGATGGAGATATGAAGCCCAAACAAGAAGATGATCTCCTCCACTTGTGAAAATAATCTTCAAACCAAACAAACACTAAAACTCACTTAAACCCTTGTTTAAAACTCTTTAAACTTGTTTAAAACATTTCTTGAGTTACATATATATAAATCTGGAAAATATAGCCGTTAGCTACAGTAACCAACCTCCAGAGACATTTCCGGTCGACCGGTCCGGTCGACCGGAGTACTGTAGCAGTGCGCAGCTGTTTTGTAAAATCAATTTAAAATAGTAAATGAACTCCAAAAATTATGAAATTTTGTGGGAATGTTTTAGACATGTAGAATAACATGTTAGAGAAAGAATTTCTGAAAAATCTTTTTCCAGTTGAGAGAAATAAATGTTTGAACACAAAAATACAGTTTCTGAAAATCTGCTGTGATACACGATTTTGTAAAATCAATTAGGCACAGTAAATCAACTTCAAAAATAGTAAAA